AGGAATATTAGGAGTGAAGCTTAACAAGAACTTGGGAGCTTCTCTTAGATGTTCTAACTGGAAAGGGGCAGCAAAAGTTTCTTATCAAGAAATTATCGAATTAGAGACAGGAATGACAGCAGAGGTTAGTAGCTTAATTTTCATACATATATACTCAACAATTCATATGGGTTTGCTGCATTTCTGATAAGTAAATATTATTCTGCAGGATATTGTATATCCATACATTTCCATCACAGGAAATTATGATGTATATGAGTCAGTGGATTTCCTGAGGCAAGGTGAGAACAGTGATGTTGCTTTGAAGAACTTAAACGCTTTGATAAGAACTGGTTATGATTTTTCTGACTTTGAGTGGGATGCTGTTGAGAGTCCTGATGTCGAGGAAGAAACGATAGATGAGGATTTAGTAGAAGATGGCTATGTGGAAGGTCAAGGTGAGATACATACAAATGACAAGGAAGAGGCGAATGTCACTGTTGAAGGTAGCCTACTCTCTGGTTTGCAGAGTAATGAGCATGAAATGGCGACAAGTTCAAAGAAGAGAAGGAGTAAGGACGGTGACCACGGTGCACAGACAAGGAAGATGAAACTGTTATGTCAAAGAGCTCCAGCCGCACCACATGGTTTTGATGAAGAGATGAAAACATTCATCAGAGAAATGTTTGAAACTTCTTTCAAGCATTTTGGGCAAGAAGTAAGCAACAAATTAGGAAAGATAGAGCTAGATGTAGCAACACTCAAGAAAGCAGTGATCACTATGGATGAGAATTCGAAAAAAGACAAGGCACCACCATTCGGTAATGGTCAACCAGTGGTACGTTAAAAATAAAAACCAAAGCTTCTGTTGTTGTATTTTAGCATTGTATGACATTGTAATTCTGTTATATGTTTTGTGTTTGTAGCTTTCGTAAGAAGTAAAAACTTATGTAAAACCTTGTAATTAGGCTATTTAGTAACTTATGCATTATAATATTTAAAGGCATGTATTGTAATTTCAGACTTAGTTATTTTGTTTGTTTTTGTTTTGATATTTACATTGACTGTCTTTGCAGGACGATAATTGTCTGTTTCATGAATTATTCACCCGTCCGGGTGAAATAGACCTTAATATGGATTCGCAAGATCCAGATTTTCTGCAAAAAGAAATGGGGCATCTTTCTCAAAAATCACAAGCACCGGGTTTTGATCCATCACAGGGTATATTTTCACAAAACCTCGAGAAACAACAGCGCAAAGACGACACTGCAGAGTTTATGGATTGGAATGATAAGGGTGATTCGGGTAAATATGTCGCTGACGCGGTGTTGGTATACTTACCTGAAGCTAGATGGACTGCTTTTGAAGCATGGTTTAGGAACGTAAAGTAAGTCCTATGATTCTATTTTTATATCTTTTAAATATACCTGATTGTATAATTGTTTATTCTTTTTGTTTTACCTTCATTACAGTCGTGATGTTCCAAAACTCGGTCCATCTCATCTAACTGATGCACTATTTAAGCGTCTGATTGATCAAAAAGAATGGCTAGGCAACGATGTAAGTTTTACTATTTTTTTTTTTCATGACTGATTACGTATTCATTTCGATAAATACTAACTTGTTTTTAAAAATAATTGCAACGCAGGAAATAGATGCAGTACTGTACTTACATCGGGAATCCACATCTTTACGCCGACTAAATTCAGCTCGTGTTGGGTTTATGAGTTGCGAGTTTAGCGCGCGAATCAAAAACGAATACCCAAAGTTCATGAAAAATAAAAAGACCCACAAATGGGATAGTCGGCTTATTGATTTCGTCACCGGTGAGTCCCCATCTCATGGAAAGACGGGTAAAAGTTGGGCTTTGGATTTCGACAGAATTTATGCTCCGGTAAACGTCAATAATAGTCACTGGATTTCTATTTGCGTCAACTTTGTTTTAAGAACTGTTGAAGTCTTCGATTGTTTCGGCAACAACAACAGAAGAAACGTGGAAATGTTTGCATACATCATCCCAAGGATTGTGAAAGACGTGCACGGGAAGGTATATGGAAAAGTCCCTCCATTGACACAATATGAGATAATAAACGTCAAGGTGCCTAAAAATCTGAACACTACTATGTGTGATTGCGGAGTGTATGCATTGAAACACATTGAGTGTCATATGCTTAATCTAAGCATGGATTTGATAAACGATGGGAACATCAAAGAGGCGCGCATGAAGATTGCTGTAGACCTTTGGGAGGCTGCTCATGATCCTATCTTAATTGAGCGAATGAAGAACTATAAACCTCCACATCAATCGTCGGATATCCTTGAAATTGATTGAGATTAATTAGCATTATGGTGTTTTTTTTTGTCCTACTCTTGCGACATGTATTTTGTATGACCTTTGTTTTTTTTTTCCTAATTATTTAGGCGTTTTATGAAAGTAAGTTCCTTGAGTTCGTCTCTAATATCTCCTATTAGCTCATGTATAATTTGATCCATTACAAACTTGATTATGAACACAAACATTAGAGACAAACGCAGGAACAAAAAATGATCATAAGTAGAAGTGAATCTATTGTTCAAAACTAAACCACAAACTTAACTAATACTGAATCCATAAATCAAAACACAAAAACAAAAATATAAGTATAAGTGAATGTAATACTCAAAAAAGCAAAACGAAAATTATTAGAATAAAATCAAAAACTAAGAACTGAACCCCGCAACCTCCCATGGTAGTGAATCGGAAAAACATGAAGCTGCTCATAATTTGAAGTTGCTTTCTAATCCTGTAAATTAAAAACAAAACCGTTAGCAAAAGACAATTTTTAAAGTCTCTATTTAAGATTACAACCAGTAGTTAGACAAACCTTAATCATATAGCTATGTCACATGTTGTTCGATTATGGCCTTCTTTTCCACAACGACTACACCTATGTCTCTTTGACAATTGTGATTGTTGTGACGCTTTTATCTTGTCTTCAGCCGTTTCATATCTTCGTTTTCTTCGTCGACCAGGTTGTCTTCTTGTTTCAGGTGGTAACACAATTGCAGCTGCAACCTCCTCTGGGACGCGCCATTCTTCTTCGGGAACACCAATTGGATTAATAGTTTCCTCATATAACGATCTCCAAGTGGCAGTGGTATACACATCATCAGCATATGGGTATATACACTTGCCTATCGCATAAGCTCCTTTTATAGCGTGTCTACAAGGAAGTTTCCCTATCTCAAACTTCCCACATGAACATGTTCTTCTTTCCAAGTCAACGACGAAGTCGAATCCGTTTGCTTTAACATGTAATCTGTTACTAGTAATCGGATAAACTTTAAAAAATTTACCTTTCTCTATTCTTCTAGAAATCTTTTTCTCCACCTCAATAGTCAACGGATCTTTTTGCTTTGCACTTAATACTCTTCGCTCATAAAACCAACGTGTCAACATCTCCCTAATGCTGTCTAACAAAGGAATTATCGGATACTCTCTAGGTGATCTCAAAGCAGAATTGATTGATTCTGCAGGGTTGTTGGTGTTAATGTCGTATCTAAATCCCGGAAAGTGGCAGCGAGCCCATTTTTCAACATTAGCATCGTCTAAGTATGCACCAATCGCTGGACTGATGTTGCAAATATCCTCGAACAACTTCTCAAACTGAGTAACTCTATAGGATTTAGACGCTTTTGCAACCATACCAGCCACACCCCTTCCACTGTGATATGTAATAACATTACCGATCAAGTGGTGGATGCAAATACCATGGGAAGCTAACGGATAGATTTTTTCAAGCGATTTACTGATCGACAAATGCCTATCTGACACAAAAGCTAAACCTTGATCATCCGCTATGAGTGTCTTAAGTTGCAAGAAAAACCACTCCCATGATGCATCATTCTCAGAACGAGCAACGCCAAATGCGATTGGATACAAATTAGAGTTACCATCTACGGCTGTAGCAACCAGAAGAACTCCTTTGTATTTACTCTTCAAAAATGTACCGTCAACAACAATCACTTTCCGAATTGACTTGTAAAACCCTCTAATTGACTGACCAAAAGATATGAATAGATATTGGAATCTACCATCACAATCAACTTCATAATTTGTATACGTACCGGGATTAGCTGCTTGTAGCATGTACAAGTATTTTGGTATCTTACCATAACTTTTCTCAGGAATTCCTCTGACTTCATTAACTGCATACTCACGAGACTCCCACGCCTGCGAATAATTAAGCTCGTGTCCATACTGTGACCGAATAAGATTGATGATATCATTCGGTTTAGGTCCTTCCAACACACCTTCATAATTATGCATAATGATATGTCCAATCGTTTTTGTTGAAGGTGTTCGACAGAATTTACTTTTCTTGGAAGGAGCACATGTATGGTTACCCACGTACTTGTTGATTTTTAAATACGAAGACCGCTCTAAACGCTCAGCTCGAAGTCGCCACTTGCAGCCAACATCTATGCATCGTATACACCACAGTTTTGTATCAGACTTTGTAATCCTGTAGTCACAGTTATACTTCATCGCATACAATTCCATGGTTGACTGTAACAATTCTTTGCTTCTGAAATACTGACCCTGGCTCACACAAGAATACTGTGACAACGATCCGATTCCATGACCAACAATAGCATTTTTTGGAGTTTTGAAACTATCGGCATTCTTTCTAGTTTCTTTCACACCCCATGATGACAAAATATTGTCGACATTAACATCATCATCTCCATCGTCGACATTAACATCATCATCTCCATCGTCGACATTAACATCATCATCTCCATTACTTGCAGCGTCGGGTTCCTTATTCAGATCGAATTTTTCTTTACTCCCTGTATCTTTATCTCCACCATTGAACGTCACACATAACTTGATCGTATTTTTCCTTTTACAGTACGAAAGGAAATTACTAACCTGTCTGTTATTCATCATTACAACAGGAGGACAATCCAAGCTAAGATCCGTGGGTAAGTAACTTAACTCCACATCAGCTGTACTCTGTTCTATTCCATAGTCTTCTGCAACAATCGCTTGTAACTCTTCAAAAGTTGTAGTCGTTTCCAAACTCAATAATCTCCCACGATTTTTTTCATCAATAATAAATCTCCACTCTTTCTTGTTATACAATCTCCACACACCACTCCTTACGTAGATGTGCATCGAGAAATCGTTGATCAAAAACGGGAAAATTTGAAGGAAAACGTGTTCTTAGCTTTTTAGAAACGAAAGTGGTGGACTAAGACGTGTAGGATTAAGACGTATAGCTTTTTAGGGTTTAAAAAACGTTTTAGGTTTTAATCTTAGTCTAAAAACCGTAGACAACAACTTCTACATCTTGTAGATCGTAATCTAAACAATAAATAATCATTTAAATCGTAATCTAAAAAAATATTTTGTTTCCTTTTCTGAATATTTACTTTCTATATTTAGAGCATTCTAAAAATTACAGAAATCGAAATCTACAATACCGTAGAATTTACATTCTAAACGTAGATTACAATTTCTAACGATGGCAGAAGATGTAGAAATTATTAGAACGTCTATTCTAAAACATTTAGAATATAGAGAAAAACGTAGAATGCATGTTCTAAATATTTTAGATTATTGATTTTTGGATTTCTAAAATTCTCAGAACAGAAATCTAATCTGAAATATGTAGAACATGTACAAAAATGCAGAATACACATTCTGAGTTTCGCAGAACGCTAGAAAACGTATTCTACCAAAATTAGATGAAACTTTATCTATCAAAAAATCAACTTTTTTTAAACCAATTCTAAAAAATTATACTTCAAATCACCTCTACTCTTGTATATCTACCTGTTTTTATGGTTATTTTTTTTAAAAAACAATTAAATTAGGGTGTAGGGGTAAAATCGTCCAAACTGACAATCTCACAAAAAAGGTGTATATGGACAAATTTTTAAGTAGATATCTCTAATTCCAAACTTGCACGGTATGTGTTAAATTAAAAACTTAAAACGACTAATCCCTAATATCAAAATGAATATAATGCCGACATAAAATATAAATGGAAGCGTTAAATTAGGGAAACAAACGGAATCAAAATTAATTGAGATCTCTGATTCAAAAAAAAAAAGAAAAAAAGAAGAGAATCTTTATTGTTGTAGAAGAAGAAGAAGAAGAAGAAGAGAAAACTTTGAAATTGAAAAAATGGGAGCAGCGAAGAATATCTGGGCATTAGCCAACGCCGAAGATGAAGCTAACGTCGCCGAACAAATTCCTTATTCTTCGTTCGTCGTCGATACGTCTTTGCCTCTTCCTCTCATGATTCCTCGTATCATGTTCGTTTCCTTTTCCTAATTTTCTTCGATTTGATAACTCGTTCCATGAATTTTGGAGATTGATTTTGTTTTCTCCTTAAAATTGACTTTTATTGCTATTTTTCTTTACACTTGGATTGGTTTCGTGGTTGTTGTAAAGTTGCTTTGATGATGACATAGTGAAAGTGATGAGATTAAAATAACATAAGAAAACAAATAAAAAGGTGATAAGACTGCTTTGTTGTGACTCATCTTCTTGTTGTTCTCTCGTTTTCATGGCGGATTTAGTTGGAAATGAATACGAATGTGGTGGCATAAGTCTTGTTTATATAGGAAGAGTGATAAAAGCTATCTTGAACCTTTTTTTTGGTTCTAATTGCTCATTTTTTTAACAGAGAGTTATGTAAAGATCTGTTCAAGAATTGGCGAGATCTTGATGATTCACTCTTCTCTGTTGAGAGAGTATCTGGAGGCATCACTAATCTATGTGAGTTTCCTTTACAGTAATTACATGTCAATGCTCATATTGTCTTCCTTGGTTCAGTTATTTCATGGAAATGTGTGATGGTACCTCCTGCCTTAGTTTTTCTTTGTGTGATAACTTTTATGTCATCTTTACATGATGGCAGTGCTCAAGGTTTCTGTGAAGGAGGACACTGATAAACAAGTGTCTGTTACAGTGCGACTGTATGGGCCTAACACGGAGTATGTTATAAACCGGGAGAGAGAGATACTGGTAATTTCCCTTATTTGTGTCTATGATAAGTCCCTTCCCCTTGTGTTCTGTTCCGTGTCTTTGGTGTCTTAGTTTGCGTTACCAAGAATTTCTATGTTATTTGAATTATTTGTCTTCTAGTGATGTCAACTTAAAGCATGAGCCTTACAGCGGAACATGGCAGAGTTTTTGCTCGATTTTTTCTTGAAATATCAAAGGTTTCTCTGCTAGTGTTTCATGTTATTCTTTTGCACTATTTGATATTTTATCATTTGTGTTTTTCGTTATTTGCTCCTCACGTCTTCAATAGGCTATCAAGTATCTCTCGGCTGCCGGATTTGGTGCCAAGTTGCTTGGTGGATTTGGAAATGGCATGGTGCAATCATTCATCTATGCAAGAACCTTAGAGCCATCAGGTAGTCATTTTAAATTCCAGTATCAGAATATAGAATGTCTCTAGAAAATATAAATTGCTTCTTGTTGTTAAGTGGTTTACCTGGAAATTCAATCCTTGTGTAGAATACTTCTATCATATGGAATGAAACTGAAGGAAACTGTTTTTAAGATTTGGAAATGCTCATCAGTAACATGGATGGAACATCTTTATAAACTATGGACTTTCCAGTCTTGTGTTTCATCAGTTTACAGTAATAATAGTGGAAGAGCTGCTCTGTTGAATTCTGTTTTATGGACTTAAAATGAAGCTCATTTCTCCTTTGTTGTTTGGCAGACATGAGAGAGCCAAAGATTGCTGCGGAAATTGCCAAAGAACTTGGAAAGTTTCATAAAGTGGACATACCAGGTTCCAAGGAACCTCAGCTGTGGGTTGATATCTTCAAGTTTTATGAAAAAGGTTTTACGTTTATTTTTGTTTTGATTACTGTTATATGTTCTGTCCTTTAATGAAGCGTTAGCTATGTATTATATAAACCACCAATACTTGGTACAAATCAGCTCTTATGCGTTTTTTCATATCTGCCCTGTACCTTTACTTGCAGCATCTACTCTTAGGTTTGAAGAGCCTGACAAGCAGAAGCTCTTTGAGACAATTTCGTTTGAAGAACTACATAAAGAAATTATTGAGCTCAGGGTATTTCCTTTTCCTCAGTAAAGATATTGTATTTCTGCCTTGTGTATGTGTTCTTGATGTCTCATGATACTCCATTTCTGGTGTTTGAAAATTCTACGTGTCAAGTTCTTCCTGGATGCCAATATTGCTTACCACATAAACCAGACAATACCGTTAATAGTATATATTTCATGTTGGAATTTGTAGTCGTTTTTGTTGCACAAAAACAATCGTGATGTGCTAAAATGTGACCATCTTTGAATGATGTCGAAGAATTGGTCCTCTGGTTCTTCTCCTGTGCAGTAACTTGTTCAAAAATCTGATAATGCTTCTTTCTGTAATCTAAACTATTTGTGTTTGTGATTAGTTATGCATGAAAACACTTTATTCTCTGCTTTGGTTTGATAGTATTTGCTGATTCTGATGATTGATCAGGAATTCACAGGCTTACTTAACGCACCTGTGGTGTTTGCTCATAACGATCTACTATCAGGAAACCTGATGCTGAATGATGAAGAAGGTAAGAAAATCCCTTCTTCTCTGTACTTCTGTCTCGCCTGAAAGAACAGAAATAGAAAGACAGACATAGGCACTAAAAAATAGGGTCTCTTTGTTACCTGAAATATTGCATTTTAGTTTAATGATTGATCTTAATGGTGATGGTACTATACAAGATCCCAGAACCAACTTTAAGAGTTGAGTAACAATGATCTTTAGGTCTGGCTTAAGTAGCTATGATATTTAGTTTCTAACATGATTCTCTTCATCCGTATTTAGAGAAACTATACTTGATTGATTTCGAGTATGGATCATACAATTATAGAGGCTTCGACATTGGAAATCACTTCAATGAATATGCAGGATATGACTGTGATTACAGCATGTATGTTCAACTTCCTTGACTTCTTCTGTTGTTTCTAAAAAATTCCTCAACAGATCGGAACATAATTGCTCGTTGTGGTTTCTCCGTAGGTACCCAACTAAAGAGGAACAATATCATTTCATCAAGCATTACTTGCAGCCAGACAAACCAGACGAGGTAAGAACATATCAGGCCTTTGGAATCTATTCAATTTGTTTTTAATGCAGATAGTAATCTGTTGTAACACATTACTTTTGCGTTCTTTTGAAACAATTTTGGCTGTTGCAAAATAAGTGTTGTCAATTGCGATGCTAAAGAATTATATATAAATTGCTTGTGTAAACAGGTTAGTATCGCTGAAGTAGAATCAGTCTTCGTAGAGACAGATGCATATAAATTAGCATCTCATTTGTACTGGGCAATATGGGCGATCATCCAGGTGCGCTTAAACCATCTAGTATATTGCTTGCTGTTACTTGTATTAAGCTAATGTAACTTGTAAAAATTTGGTGGAACAGGCAAGGATGTCTCCCATTGAGTTTGAATATTTGGGTTACTTCTTTTTGCGGTACAATGAATACAAGAAGCAGAAGCCACTTACCTTTTCACTTGTTACATCTCACCTGTCTGCATCGGTGTAGCCTTTGACCAAAATGGTTAAATCTTTGTTTATTTTTTTGTCGTGTTGTTATCAATTCTTGTAAAATTTGTTTGTGTTGTTAGTTAAACCTTGTATGGTTTGTAATACAAACTTTGTATGAATGAACTTGATTTGTGGAAATAGTCGCATTTTATATTAACATTCACCCACAAGGTCAGGTGCTAAGAAGGATGAATAAACCAAAGTAGTGAAGAAATGATAAGAAACTGATATATAAAAGAAGAAATGATTGTGTAAAGAAATTTTCTTTGATTTAACCTTTAACTGCAATTCTATTTTGAGGTTTAGTTTTTTTTTTTCTTTTTTTTTTTTCATCGAACTAAATTAAAGTCAAAGAAAAGCGCAAAGATAACTTAGCTTTGTTATAAAAGTCGACAGTCTAGCTGCCTAGATGGCCTCCTAATTGCTAGCAGTGTCCATCTGCAACGACTCTTTTCCAATTCGGATTTATTATGGTTGTCCAATTATATTTATCGCCTGACTAATGTTATTAGACGCTTATATAAGACTCATATGTGCATAGTTGCGAACTAAGAGTAACGTGGACTCACTTGATACCGTTAAATTTGTTTTTTAATAATTTTTGGGAGTTTAACACTTACCTCATTCCAAAGTTTTGTTGAACTCATAAACTAAATTTTTATCTCAAACCTTTTTGTTTATTCTGACTCTATCAATAAATTATAAATCTCAGCCCATAAACTATAAATTGCATAAATCAATGCAATGTATAACATATATGTTAAGATGGTCCTCCTCAAAGCCAAAGAGATGTGTTTTGTTTAACACAAGAACACACAAAGTAACCAAAGAGATAAACTCTGTTTTTGTCAATTTTCAAGTCTCCCTTCACTTGCTAATCGATGATGTTTAAATACACAAGATAAAGAAAGAAACTAACCACTAAATCTAGTGGTTAAGAAACGTGAGAGAGTGTAGATGCAATCCCACTACTTTAGGATAAGCTAAGACAACATAAACTCAAATCTATCTTCAAAATGGCTAACGTCGGTTTACTCCAGTTAAACGGTTATGTTCTCATCAATATAGCCAATGCTCTTGTAAATTTGTAGTAAATATTTTATAATATAAACTCGTTGCAGATATTTTATTAGGATGACCAAAAAAGACGGCAGAGAAGACCAATAAAACAATGAGTATGAGATTGAGGTTGTGAAGAAAAAATCAGTTGTGCAATATGCAGAAAAACTAGTTACTGAGATAGTTTTAGATCCTTTCTAAGTAAGAAAACAGAGATCCAGTCAAACTTTACCTAAGCAAAACCGGTGGAAGAAAGTTTGTGTTTTGCGTTTTTCATATCTACGACTTCTAATGTTTTAATCTTTTCAAATTAACATGTTTTCCTCTCATTCATTTTAAAGCATTTTTTTAATTGATATGATATATATAATGGGTCCATATTTTGTATTTTTCCTAGGGTTATCAAAAATCTTTAAACGGGCTACAAACCACCGGACCTATGTAAACTTTAATGTATTTGACGCATACTCTTCCTCCTAAATAAAGGAAGGTGTTTGTCTCAGGAAAATACATCATCAACCCCCTCCACGAAACTAATGTTCATGTCAAATTCCAATACTAATCAAATTAGTAATTTTGAAAACAGACGTGAACACCGAGAAATACTCAAATTGATATTGTTCAATATGAAAATAGTAACATTCTTTGTTTAAATGAGGAATGAAGTAAAGTAGGAGCTGGATTCAAAAAATTTAAGTCCTTTTTATGTTTTACGTATTAATAATATTAAATTTTAACTTACCTATGATACTGAAAATAGATCATATGATTCTCATAAAATAAATTTAAAACATACATTAGGTAAGTGAAAAAAAAAATTTATGTTTTGCACAGTTTCATATATACTAGTAGAAATTTTTCGTATAACCACGGTTTAGCCATGGACATTCGTGGCTAATTTCATACCAGCCACGAATTAGTCACTAAAAAATAACGTGAAAATTTCCGTGGTTTCTGGTGGTTTTTCGTGGCTAATTTTTGCCACGGATTTTATCTGTAACAAATTCGTGGCTATTTGCTACGAAAAAGCCACAAAATTTTCTTGATTATTTTATTTTCGAATTTATTTTATTATATAGCCACGAATTTGCTACAGATAAAATCCGTGGCTAGACGAAAACCTAAATCTTAAAGACAAACTCTAAATTTATAAACTCTAAACAAAAATCTAATTACCAATGTATACCCTAGGCCTGGGCATAATACCCGAACTACTTCTTGTTTTATATTACTCCCTCCGTTTCACAAAGAGTGTCATTTTAAGGTTTTATTTTTGTTTCACAAAGAGTGTCGTTTTAGGTTTTCAATGCAAAATTTAATGATTTTTTATGTTTTATGACTATTAGTATTCTGCAGATTGTTTTACTATTGGGCAGATTGTGTTTAATTATATAGGTAATGATGTTTTTGTTTAGAAAAAACAAAAAATTTAATGTTTTCTTAATCTGTGTGCAAAACTCTAAAACGACACTCTTTGTGAAACAGAGGGAGTATTGTCTTAAGGAACAACTTGTTAAAATTTCAGATCTTTCGGGTTTTATGGGTACTTTTATGTATGTTTGGGTATATTTGGACAAAGTTTGGGTAAGTAGTACTCAAACCCGAAATAGTTTTGGTTATTTATGGGTTCTTTAACCAATACCCGAATTACCCGGATCCGAAGTGAACCCGAACCGAATCCGACCCGAAATTATACATATAACCCAACGGGTCCAAAATTTCTAAACCCGAAAAACCCGAACCCGAAAGACCCGACCCGAACCCGACCCGAATACCCACATGCCCAGGCCTAGTATTAGTATACCCTAATTAAAATTAAGATCCAACACTTTTATAAAATTCTTAATTTTTAAATCAAACATTTCAAATCTATACCCCAAACCCTCAATTTAACTCCAAATCCTAAAATCTAAACTTTAATTAAAATTTTCATTATAGAAATTAAACCATAAACCATCAAACCAAAATATAACCATTACATTTACATAAAACCAATATTTAGAACCATTTACAAAAAAATCAGTTGTTTGTTAAGAAGAAAATAGCAAAATATTTGAAATCTAATCAATTTTTTAACCCTAAACCAAAACATAATCAGTATAATAAACTAAAATCAAATAAAAATAAAGTTTTAAAATATAATCATCATTTTAAAAATTCTAAACTGGAAACCATAATTAATAAATATATTGAACAAATAAAAACAAATGTATTTAATAAAAACACATACAAACAAAAGTTATAAAAAATATAGACAAAATGCAATAAAAGAGACTTGCTTCTCATTGGTTACGCCACATTGACGAGGATCACAGTTTTGTTGATCATCCACCGTTGATAACATTAAATCTAACGGACAGAAATCTTCCTTTTATTTTGTTTCTCATTCCCAACAAAAGCAATTACTCTCTTCTTCTTCTCTTTTTTTTTACGATCTCTACTTCTCTTCTCTTGTTTCCTTTTTGTTTTTCTGGGTAAATTTCTCTTTCTTTTTCTTCTTCTCTATTTTTCATGAATACTAATCCTTTCTTTGTTTTTTTTTTATCAGATCTCGCATATCAAGCCTCCGCCACCGCGTCTTGAAGCCGTCGTTCACCACCACCACCACCATTGATGAAGTTCAACGCATCAACGCCATGACATCAGCCCTGGAGTTCAACGCAACGACGCCGTCACATCAGCCATGGAGTCTGATCCAAATTCCGATTGCTGCAATGTTTTCAATGGGCAACAATGAGAGCTCCTAGATCTGATGCCCGACGAACCCTCACCCTCCAGCCACCACCAGATCCTTCGCCACGAGACCACCGAAGATGCTTGACGGAAAGACATCTCGTGAAGCATTTTTTAATTTTTTTTTTTTTTTGGTAAGGTTTTAATTTTTCTTTTTAGTTAAAATCATTGTATTTTATAAATAAATCAATTTCACATTTTAATTAATAAATAATAATCCTTTTTGTTTTTGTTTTTTTTTTAATTAAAATTATACGAAAAAGTCACGAATTAGTCAGGATTATTTTCGTGGCTGTAGACTTGTAGAGCCACGTATATTTAAGTGGCTATCTGTGATAAATCAGCTACGAAATACGCGTGACTAATTTGTGGCTAAACAGCCAGGAAAAGCCACGAAAAAATAAAGCTACGAAGCTATAGCCACGAATATTTTTAGTGACTAATCGTGGCTATATTGACTTATAGCCACAAATTTTTAGGTGCAGCCATGAATATTGAAGTGGCTATACGTATTTTTTTTACTAGTATATATTATCATCCAAGATATAAGTTCATTAATTCTATCTCCGATATGAGAAAATATATAGTGATTATAAGATTAGTTAGCTACTTCCTAGAGTTTAGAGATATACATAGAACTCTAGGTAGCTAACCATAATTACGTGAATCGAACTAATCTAATAATCGCGCATGTTACCTTTTGTACAGTTTACACTAACATGAGTAAATAAAAAAAGAATTTTTCAAAAAACTTTTTTATTTTGAACATTTTCGGTCAAGTTATTAATAACTAGTCATTTCTATATTTTTTTGTTTGATGCGAATTTGTTATTCATCTAAAATTTCCACCTCATAAAGAATCAAAATTAAAACTAAAATGTTAGTTAGTTCACAAGATTTTACCTTATTATTTAAATTGTAATTAACAGATAAATGCAGTTTAGTAAAATTCGATTAGCTCATACACTGATCAAGTTTTGAGTTTAAATTTTTCAAGTACTATAAATATAAGTTGATGTTTGGGCATAACTAAGCATTTTTTAAGGTACAATTTGAGAATTTTTAAACAATTAGAATCGAAGACTCATAAGTCTCAATTTCAGAGAAATCAACAAAAATGGTAACGGAGTAAAAACTGTACATTAAAAATAAAACTATCCTCATCTACGGCAACTCGGATGTGCTGATGATGTTCAAAAAGATTATGACCAATGTCATTTTTCCACTTATGTATACATGTCCTTGCAAGGTTATTTGTTACCATGTGGTTGTAGATCACAATATACCCTTGTTAACAAAAAATGAGTTGAAATTTACAACTACAACATGTTTTATGGCAAAAAAAAGGTCTCTTAAATACCACGTGTAAAGTTTCATTGGTTAGAAAATTAATAAAAAAAAAAAAAAGCACTGGCTGAGTTGTGGATTGGAAAAGGGTGTTGGCTTATGATTGGTTGATGAGATATTGAAATATTTATCTCATCCTAATAATTTAAATATATATTTTTGTATTTTTTATACCAAAATTCATTTTTTTTTCTCCTATAAATAGAAAATTGATTTATTTGATTCGGACAGCAAAACAAATCCGTTTTTTTAGTATCATTTTCTATTAGCCTTTGCTAAGCTCTTGTTTAGAGCTTTAAACATCTTTTTGTTGAAATGGATCCAACAATGATCCTTTTAACACCCAAAAATCCAAACCCTTATTAATTCCAAAAGCAGTCTTCCATCCCACCCCAAAATATGCCAAATTATGGTTTTGCACCAAATTTTTTCATGTCGTCACATGTTCCAAACTATCGACCATATTATTTATCGGTGATGTCATATTCATCTCAAGCACCCTCTTATTCTTCTACTTCAATGGGTAATATTGAACATGTTTTAAATGTTGAAGCAGATGAGTTCCCCGAGTTTTCTATACAACTGGCTCTTGGCGCTTGGCGGTGTGGGCGGTGTGGGCGGTGTTAATGAAGCCACTCTAATGTAAAGGATTCAACTCATGCTCGTCGGAGAAGCCCCAAATGGACCACTACTCAAAATTTAGTGCTACTTGGCGGACAGATAAAATATGGAACAAACAGCGTTGTAATGAGCATTTTCCATTCGATCCATAAAAAATGAAGCATATAGGGAAATTTCTGAGTATTGTAATGAGCATTGCTCATTCGATCTTCCGCGTGATGGAGTTTGGTGAAGAAATAATTACAACTACATCAACAAAATGTTGAGAAAATAGACTGGCGCTTATGACAACGCTAAGCGTATGCAACAAAGCAGGTGGTCGGAGAATGATGTTTTGACGAAAGCAAATGAACTATATACAAGAAGTGGGAATGGACATTTTAATTTAATGTTAGAATGGCTCACAGTTCGTGATTAACCACGTCATGGTTGTCATGTAGGAGGAAAAGTTAGATTTAAGAGATCCCACAAGAGTAATGCAAGTAACTCCAACTCGGTGGGATCTATTGCTCGCCTAATGGGGAGAGATGCAGCTAAAAAAGGTAAAAATAAAGGTAAAAAGAAAGGAAAGGGTACAACCTTGGAAGTGGTCAATGAAGAGTAGAATGAATATAAAACATTCAAAGCGCGAGAGTTGGAACGATTGGAAAGAATAGCCACGCAGAATGAAGTGGCAAACCAATAAAAAAGAGGACTCTAGATAAGAAGATATATGAAGATGTTTACTGCAAAAGTGTATCTCGATGACCAGAGTAAACAATTGTTGGAGGAGTTGAACCATGATCTATTTTTAAATTAATATTTCTCAAGTTGTTGTATTTTTTATCGTTTATGCTTTAATAATGTTAGTCATGTGTTTGTATATATGCATTTTGTCGTTTTATGCTTTAATAATGTTGATCATGTGTCTGTATGCATTTTGTCACTTTATGCTTTAATAATGTTAGTCATGTCGCTCTATGCATCTGTAAATTTTTTTTTTCAAAATCTGTGACTTTCGGCTTTTACAAGTAATCTAATCTTTATCTATTAATTCATTACATTTTATTATCTATTTGAGTCTATTGATTTCAGCCACTGAATTTCTTATAAATGGGGATTCATTCTTCTATTGATGTATCAATACCATAAATCTCATCTTACTAAAAAATATCAACGGATCCATAAAATTTTCCATTTGATATTGAAGCTTACAAAAAGCAGTCTGAAATTGAAGAGAGGTATATTGTGAACCAGTTTAGGTAGCTTCAAAACAAAATTGAGGAAGACTATATGCAACTCGTATCAACTTATTAGTTTTGATACAAAATCGTATCCTTATACTATGTTTATGTAGCCATGATATATGTGGTTTGTTGCATAATTTTTCTTTTACATGTTAGATAATTATACATATATTAAAATTTTGAGATATGGTGGAAAACAATAAAAAAGAAATGATTATCTATAGGATAGTGAAGAGGTGGAAACTATATTTAGAAAAATAAATGCATTTAGAGAAGTACAATTTTTGTAGGATTAGTAGGAATACTATTCAAATTATAAATTATGGTCAATATGATTTCAATCAAGTAGAAACAGTATTTTTTTTTTTTTTGTATGAATGTAAAATTTATTCACCAAAAAAAGACGGTTTTACAATAAATGCAACATCAAGCTGAAAAAATCTGAGTTTTTGAGATGGATTATAAAGAAGAGAAAACTAGCGACTATAGGTTTGGAACCAATATCGCAGTCCGCCTTCATAAGTGGGTGAGCCCGTCGTAATTAAGGTGCTCAGCCGGTTATGAACGTTCTTGTCGATCAAGTAGAAACAGTATTTGAATGGGGTTGAGTGATGTTGTTTTAATTATTTAGTAATATTACAAACTTTGATATTAAATTTAGTAGGAGCTACACATGAACTTAAAATGTAAGTTAATTATCGATAAGTATTATATTATAGTAATATTAAAAAAATCAGAAGAAGAAACTAAACTAAGAAAATAATATATATTCTAGGTACACAAAACATATTTTTAACTTTTCAATTATGCAAATTGTACAATGTGAAGATAAATATAACTTATTTTAAATATAATCATACATAACTATTTTTGAATGTATTCAAATATTTATTATTGTAATTAGATTATGTATAAGTGATAACAATGAAATTTTAAATTGTTTTGGATAAAACCTAATTCTCACATATATTTATTACTATGATATTCAAATATTTAATTTTCTTTTTTCATATAACTTCACACATAAGGTATTTTTTAAATTTAAATTATTTTGTAACTGACAAACTAAATCTGTTTTCTTATAAAATCTTATGAACTACAATCTAAACCGTTAAAAATAATTCCCAAGAATACTTCTATTTTTTTTTATTCCACTCAATTTAAATCACAGTGCTTGGTTTGATTATAATGATTTCATCTTTGTAGGATTTATATTGCTCGGTTGGATTATCAAATTGTTTTAATTTAATTGATTTTGTTTTAGAAAAAATCCTTAAATCAAAAATTTTGAATAAAAATATTATAATAATTTTTATAGAATTATCCATTGGATCACAAAAAAATTAAATGTAATGATAAATATATTAAAAATAGTATAAAAAATTGTTTGAGATAAGAAAAAGTAATTTTAGGGAAAAAAATTTAAACGACAAACCTTAAATAAAACATGTTATGGTCTTTAATATAATTATCTATTGGTCCAATAAAGAGAGAATGAAAATTTACTTTTACATATATATTTTAGTTTTATTTTTAAACCTGTAATTAGTGGAAAACTCCATGTCCTATAACCATGCCACCACATGGGAGTGTGACTGTGATTTGTTTTTTTGTAAAAAATGTTAGTTTTATTAAAAGTAAGATTTTATTAAGATCTATAAAAGGAATGAGAGTGTTTTCCGCAGAATTTTTCAAAAAAAAAAAAAAAAACTTTATAACCAATTAACACATTAGAATAGCAAAGAGTAGGGATATTTGAATTGGGGTTGATTATATTTCAGATTTCTTTGTCGAGTTTCATGAAGCGGACGTTGGTAGTAGAGGAACTTCCTTGGTAGAGTCTTGCATTACTCTCAAACTAGAGTTAATATGTTGTGGCATAGACCATAATCTTTTGGATTATGGTCGGCACACATGATGACGATGTTATGGGTCCAGCTAACAATTCATTTTAGCTGTTAAACTCAGAAAGCGTTATACTGTAATTTGGAAGTGATACGATTTGTCAAATTTATTAACAATAATATGATTTGAAAGCGAAGAGATTTTCCTATATTTTTCAATGACAAAACGGGTGTCTTTTGTCTATTAAACAAAATAGACAAAATTATCCTTGAATATATAATTAATTATGAAAACTGATAACAAAAACGTGTTGCCATCATAGTGATATAAAATATTACAAAATTAAAAAATAATTACTATTTCACACCAAATAAATTCACAAATATTATAACAAAAACGAATTCAATGAGTTTTAAAATCAGTAAAACTGATCACATTTATTTTCAAGCTACCTTTCCATTAATGAAATATAAATTTTATACTCCCTCATATTCATATTTAATCCCAACTAATGAAGGGAGTTCTTATTGCCCAGGAGTATTGCAGTTAAGGATATAGAGAAAAGGCACAAAAAAGCACAAAGAGATATAGAAACGAAGCGATAAGGAAGATAAGACAGAGAAGCATTCCCATAAACATCGAAGCAAAGATAAAGAAAAGGAATTGAAGAACAGGCATGCCTGTCTTAACCCTACCGACCAATTCCGTACATTTTTCTTATATGCTTTAAGGCAGCTTCTAATCAACAGAGTGAGGAGACTCCCTCGTAACTTTTTTAAGTATGTCCAATGAATCTAGGCAATATTGATTTTCTATAGATCAAGTTTGTGGATGTTGTACACTCTCGGGTATAAGGTTTTAGTTCATTTCAACATCTTTCAGAAAAGGAAGCATGAAGGAAATGGAGGTCTTAACAGGCAAAAGAAGAGCAAGTTAAAGAAACTTTATCTAACTGGTTTAGGAAATATACAATTAGTAGAGTAAGGAGTAGACTCCGAATTGTACTTGTTTAATTAATGAGTTGAGCCAAGAAAACTAATACACTATTTAATCTCCACTAACTGGTTTTCTAAGTAGTTAACCTGAGAGACCAATTCTTGTGGCTGGATCAACAACTTCTCTGTTTTAAGGGCTTCACCATACGCCGCAATGAGAAGTGCTTCAGCTCGACCATGATCCTTTTTCCTCTTAAGTTGCGTACTAAGCGATGGAAACAACTCCGCTGCAACTCGTCTGCTATCATCCTGTAACGGAAAATAAAAACTTTGTCAGCCATTTGAGAGATTTGTTTTTAACTCACAAAAGTTTGACAGTAAAAGATCAAACAAATCACCTTTGTGCAACTTCCACTAGCAAGTTGAAAATGCCTCTTCCATAAAGATGCAGACACTGGAATGACACAAAAGCCTGAAGCAACAAGTGTTCCTATCCATAATCCATATCCAAATCCTCCACTATACCAACCCTATGACACAAACACAAGCACAAACATTTCAGTTTTTTCCGATAAACACACCATAACTGAAGAAAAATGAATGTGTGTTGTAGCATAAACCTGTTTTCCATCTTTTGGAAACGGATTCGATTGTTCTATATATACTCTGCTTCCTACATTATCGAACACAAAAGATGTAAAATTGCTTCTATATCTCCCCCAAAGAACACAAAAACAACAAAGAGACAATGTGAAAACATATATTCTTACCAGAAGGAACATCTAAACTCTGAATCAATTGAACAATTGACTTTGCATCCAAACGTTTTCTCACTCTTTTCCCAACTAAAACTGGGATGTGAGGTGTATCATAAACCTACTCCAGATTGAACCAAACAACAAAAAACACAATCAACTTCAGTAATAACTCAGATTCTGTCCAAAATGATTCACATGAGTTCTTGCATATCATAAAACTACTTCAAATTGAACCAAACAAAGCAACAGGAACGATTCACAGATTCCTTCACATTCTCGATTCTTTTCACCAAATTTCACATTCTCGATTCTTCTCACAAATTCCAAACGAACATTGTAATGATAGATAATTCCATCAATAAATCAACTGACAAAACCCTAAAACCCTAACTGACCTGAGCATAAGAACAAATGTTCAAAACACCACCAACTTTGGTAATAACTCTGCCTATTCGAAATGATTCACATAACCTTGTAAAGAAAGCTACTTTGGACAAAAACCCTAAAAACCCAAACTTTCACCATTCTAGTGACTGACCTGAGCAGAAGAAGAAGAACCCAGGTGGTCAAATTTCAAAAGAGCCAACGCACCAGACAAATCAGGGTCAATCCCGATGACGCAGCTTGACTCAGCATTTTCCGGAGTCGTATCTTCGTCTTGTGAGGTGAGAGAGAGAGAATCCAACCATTTCTCCTTCATCAACGCCACGTCAATAGCTTTCGTCGTTGGAAGAGCACTAAACGAGAAATCCCGTCGCCGCCGGAACGGGGCTGTAAAAGACGGCGAGGAGAGAGAAAGGAAAGGTCTGAGCTTTGAGAAGAGACTATGCATCTGTGGCAGCGACGGTTGGCCGTACGCCGTTGTTGCCATTACAAGAAGGATTTTAATCTCGGCAGCCCCTGTGCTGGAATCATTCTCTACTTAGCCCCAATATAAAAAACATATGTTTACTTAATTATTTTTATTTAGAAAAATAGTAAAAGACAAATAAAACTGGACTTTTCGACTTATTTACTGACCCAACCTTATTTTGGATCTAGATCCATATCAGTTTCGGATTTTTTATCCCCAATTTTGAAACCTAAAAACTCTAATTTTTTTTCTTCTCTCCACGACACTCTTTCATCTTCTTCATCTTCTTCATCTTCTCTCTATTGGAGACCGGAGACTAGAGTCGTCAATACGACAAAGACAAAGCTTTCGATCTCTTTTCGTCTTCTTCTTCTCTCTTCTTTCAATTCCGTCGATACTCTTTCGTTTTCTTCTTCTTCCCTCTCTTGTTTCTATCGATCCAAAGATCCATTCTCTTTCTTCTTCTTCGTGAGAAATCCCGCCGTGAATCCGAGGAATCCGCCGTGAGAAATCATCTATGTTTTCTCTTTGTAAGATTTCTCTTGTTTGATCCATTTTTTCGATTGATTGTTTAATTGGTTTGATTAGGGTTTGATTTTTCTTTGAAGGTTTAATAGGGTTCGATTGATTGTGTTGGGTTTAATTAAGGTTTGGATTTGTTTGAAACAGATTGATTATGGATTGGTTTTCGATTGAATTTGGTATTTTTTTTTCTTTGAGGGTTTAATAGGGTTCGATTGATTGTGTTGTGTTGGGTTTAATTAAGGTTTGATTTTGTTTGAAATAGATTGATTGAATTTTTTTTTTATGATTATAATTCGGATTTAATGTTTACAATTTGGATTTGAATTACAATTCGGATTTGAAATTGTCTCTGTTAATACCCATTATGACTAGTTGTATGATTACAATTTGGATTTGATGAATTTGTTCCGTATAGATGATTTATGAAATGAGTTAAAAACTAAAGATTATGAGATTGTTTATCCTTTGAATGTTTGATATTGAATATCATGTGTTGTTGTAGGTACTAATCACAATGATTAATTAGAGGAGAAGGATATAGTTCTAGAAGGGAAAGATTATCTTCTCCTTGGAGCAAGAGAAGGCGAGAGAATCGGAGCAAGAGAAGGTGAGGAAATTGGAGCAAGAGAAGGCGAAGGAGATGGAGCAAGAGAAGGCGAGGGAACATGAAAAGATTATGAAGAAGTGTTGGTGGTTGGGTTATTAGATACAATTGAGTTCGGCTTGTATTTTGGTTTCTGATTTTGATGTATAAATCTAAACGTTTAGGTACAACTGGTACGATCATGTACAACTATGTTTCTGGGTTTATGTTTTTTTGATTATGTTTGAATCATTGAATCTGAATCTAACTATGTATGAATCTTTTAATCTGAATCTTAATATTTTTATGTATGAATCTATGTATTGAATATAATCTAAGAGGTTTTGAACCAAAAAAAAAAAAAAATCTAAATTAATCAAAAAATCTGACAAATATGTAGGTTTGTAAGGGTTTTGGAAAAAAAAAAAAAAAAAGTGAATCTAGTTGATATTTTGGCATACCTGGCGCCGTTATTTTGAAAAAAATCTGACAAATGGCATACCTGGCGCCGTTATTTTGAAAACAATTATTAAATAATAGCTCAAATTTGTTCATAGTTGTACATTTGTACTCGGTTGCACATTTTTGCTCATAGGTGTACAATATAGAGATTTTAGTAAATCTAGTTGTTATCAACTATAATTTAATTTTTGTTGGTGGAACCGATGGTATTGCCTCATAAAAATACCATTACTTTGTATTTGTGCATTTATATTTATCAAAATACAAGTATTTCAAAAATTTATAAAATTTTAGTTCAAATCTACAAAGTAACCATGAAAGTATAAGGTTGTTAGTGTATGAATGTGGGATTTTGAGTAAGAATTTCAGTATTTTTAAAAATTATGAAATATTTTGTCAAAAACTTGTTGTGTAGTTTCATTGCCATCGTGTATGCATTTTTTAAGTTTTTTTTAATTTGGTTTTAAATTTTCATATTATATAAAATTCTGAAAATTGGCTAAGACATTAGACCTTAGTTGTACCTGTGGTACTTAGTTGTACCCAGACTGACAAAATTTGCACAAATACGAGAAGAAAATCAACCATAGTTGTACATGCTAAAACTTAGTTGTACAACACAGAACATATAAGTTTCACAAACAAAACCAATATAAACAACATCGTTTCTTAAATTGACCTAATAAATAGCACTGAGAAATCAACCTTGGTCCCCCGCATCGTCTCCATCATCGTCTACATCGTCTCCATCAACGCCCAAACCGCTCGATCCATGCGACCTCTTCTTACGTCCTCTTCCTCTATGTTCTCCGACGAAGGGGAATCTTGTTTCTTGTCTTCTTCCTTGTTTTACCTCATAATCTGGAGGATATGCAAACAGTTGCATTATCTCCTCAGGAAGAACACATTGACTATTATGGGGAACCGGATAAATTATCCTCGTATACGCCAAAACCTAAAGCTCGATCCAATAATACTTTGAGCACAAATCATGTGCCCGAAGATCGGGAGTATGACTGAATTCCTTTTCATTGTCCCTGAAAAAAACAGAGAGAAAAAACGGCCTATAATTTCATAACTTTCGTAGCAGACCATCAACATAGTTATACACATTTGTCCCAGTTGCACCAAACTTAGGGTTTCCGTAAATATTCTACTTAGTTGTACCCAGTGGTTTCAGTTGTCCCAAATCTGCAATCCTAAAATATTTCAACAAATAACCCTATTCAAGCTACGAATTCAACTTAATCATACTACACTAAGAAAACAAGTATACTTACCTTACAGTATGGTGGGAATAGAAGAAAAAGAAGAGAAGAGATATGTCTTTGGAGATGCAAGCTTTAATGGTGAGCTTCAATGGTAGATGGAGAAGAAGAAGAAGAAGAACGCCGGAGCTGAACGTCGGAGCTGCTGAAGAACGTCGGAGCTGCAACGTCGGAGCTGTTGAAGAAGAAGAAGAAGAAGAAGAAGAAGAAGAGAAGAAAGTCTTGTAGGTTTAATGTCGTAAAAGGTGAGACATTTGATAGGTTTGTTTTTTTAATGAGAGAAGAGAGAGAAATTTTTTGATTGGTTGAATAAAAAATGTGTTGGTTTAAATTAAATGTAAAATTAAAGGGATAAGGGGTAAAGTTGGTTTATGGAAAAATTGGGAAGGAGAGGGGGTAGTGAGAATAAAGAGGGGTTTTCCAAAAATTGATTCACCCCAAAGGGGCTAGAGAGATTAAAATCCTTACAAGAAGAAGCCCCGAATTAGAGCAAAACTAACTCTCAATTTCAGTTTTGTATTTTATTTTGTATATTGTTTTATTAATATTTTATTTAGATAAATTATTTTGCTGGAAAAAATTGTATTCATACAATTCTCACGAATTAAGCAAGCTTTGGTTTCAAATTTAGCACATAATTTCTAAAATTCCAAAAAAATAGCACAAATCTAATATTAATAAAACTAATATAAATATTTGATTAACGTTTTATGCGATCATATTATAATCGTGATTTTCAATTATAATTAATTTATTATTTTAAATAATTAGATAAATATAAAATAGTTATTATGTAAATTCACTAATGGTAATTTTGGAAATTTGTGAATAGTGTATTATAATTATGCATAAAACTTGTTTTAGTGCTATTGCATGGTATTTCCATAACCATAAATGCAACTTTTATTTTAACAACTAAACAAAAAAACAACTAAATTTTTATCTAATACTCCTTTTGATTTACTTTGCTCTTTTAGAGCATCTCCAATAGTTACCTTCAAATATATCTTCAAAATTGAAGGTAAAAATGAAGCAAGGTTTTTCCAATGGTTTTTTTCATTTTCTACTTCAAAAAGAATATTCTAAGTATATTATATATATGTTTTATTATTAATTATAAACAAAACTCTTTACTTTCTAAACTTATGAATTTTAACCCATTTATTTTATAGTAAGCAAATAGTTCAACAAATTTTATTTAAAGTACATTATTATCACACTACATAACATTAATTAAAAAACATATTTTTATGATGCAATTGTAGACATATACTTCTCCCACAAATGATCAATTAATGCATTTCGAAGTGAGAAATGAACTTTTTTATCCTTTATTTTTCTGAATCGAACGAGAAATTCTTGGAATTGGGTATTTTCATCAGAAAAGAAATGAAGAAAAACAGAATCAACAAGCTCCATCTGGATCAACCTCATTTGGGCAATATTTTAATTATCTTAGTGGATCCGGAAACGAATTACCAGATTATTAAGTTTTTAATATATGCTATGGTATATTTTTTATATATTTAATGTTAGTATTAATTATGTATTTTAAATTTGAAATTTGAATTTTATGTTGCATTTTAAGTTGATTGGATAAAATAAAAATAAATATTTTTTTGGTATAAAATAAATACTTTTTATAATTTAAAAATCATTTTGTAAATAAAAAAGTTCATCTTCAAAATATGAAGATATGAATAGTATACTTTCAAATATGAAGATACACTATTCACTCCTTCATTTTGAAGGTGAAAATGAAGTACCATTGGAGAAGATTTCTTCATTTTTATCTTCAAAATGAAGGAAAATGTGAAATTTGAAATACCATTGGAGATGGTCTTAGAGATTCAAATTTTAATTCTAAGTCCGAGTGTTAGTTTTTCTTTAACTTGACATTTAGGTGGTGTTATTCAATGATGGATTTTAATAGAATTGAAATCCAACACTAATCTAGTGTTATTCAACTAATGATTCTAAATCTAACTTTAAAATCTGGTGTTATTGGATCTTATAATCTGGTATTTTAAATCTTAGTTGAATAACACCAAACTTTTAAAATCTAATGAAGTATAAGATCCAGTAACACTAGATTTTAAAGTTAGATTTAGAATCATTAGTAGAATAACACTGGATTAGTGTTGGATTTCAATTCTATTAAAATCCATCATCGAATAACACCAGATTTTAAATTCTATTAGATAAATTTCTGACAAAGAGTAAATGTTAATGAAAATCCTAAGGAGGGGTTATTGGTTCATGGATTTATAAAGAATTAGAAATCCAAACAAAAATCATTTGTTATTTAATCATTGATTTTAAAATCCTAATTAAAATCATGTGTTATTGGTTCTATGATTTATAAATACTAATTAAAATCCTATGTTATTCGTTTAGTCATTTTTTTTTGGATTTGAGAATCCAAATTATGTTTTAAATGGATTTGTATGGAATTGAAAGAGAAAAATAGAAGGATTCAAATCTATGGGTAAACACATGTTATTTCAAAATCCATATATCTTGATTTCATAATTAATAGAGATTTCCAAATCCTATATGGATTTATAAATTTTTTTTTTTTTTTTCCGGCAAATCAAGTATATTGATATTAAAAAGTGTTTACAAGATACATTAACATTTCGAAACGACCAATTACGCAAATACATGAAATTATTACAATTTCGATGAAGGAGTGGAGAGTAACCATGCTATCTTTAGACTTATAGGCTAACAGATATAATCTGTTATGTCCTCCCTTCACACACTTTTTATTGGCTATCAGCATATAGCTGAAACTCCAAAATGCTCTTGGCATTACATCATCTAAAGAAATGAAAATAAGTGTCGTTGGAAATATTTCTGGAACTTGTCGTCTCATTGTAATCAAAGTACTTGATAGTTCCCGCAAAGATTCTTTATGTTCATCGTGATATATCCGTTGTTTTCTCTCCCACGCTTCTTGCCATAGTGATTGTTTCAAGTGAAGCCAATCAATATTTGCAGGTTTATCCCATATAGGACACAAGTCCCTGACGTCTAGTGATCCTCTATACCAAGGAACAAATACAATGTCGGATTTTATGAATTGACCTTTTGCAAACGTTGCCTTTATGTAACGAAGCTTCTCAGCAACAACATCAACATGTTGGTCAAAATCAGAGACAAGAATATAGTCTCCCCTAACCTTATTTGCTTTCTCTATTAATAGAATAATATGGTTTGAAAGATACTCTGCAGGAGTGGAATTGATTTTGATGCTTCATCTTGGAAATTGGGAGGCCATCGATGGATTGTTATCATCCAATAAGCCAAAAACCACAGACCTCTTTGAATCACTGAATTCATCTCTTCCTCTAACGATTGTGGAAGTGCCACCGGTTCATCATCGAGTCCGAGACTAATCCTAATTTCGAAGCCCAACAATGTCTCCCTCAAGCCAAAGGAAACAAAAGGAGAAAAGAAGTGACCACCAATAGGTAAAATTATCGACATCTTCGTGAAATAAAGAATCGAGGTCTCCATCGCCAAAACAAACATAAAACGGCTTCCGCTGATGTGATCAATTAAGAGTCGTATTCCACCGTTTGCAAATCTGCAAATAGGAACTCCTGGATCCCAAATCTGGGTTTGAAAGCCCTTTCTCAATTTGAAGAAATTAACGTCAAGGTCATGGGCTTGACGATGTTGAAGAGGAATGTGTTCAATATTGAGACAACGGAGGCCGCCTAGACAAAACTCCAGCGGAAAGACGCCGCCACTGTTCCGAGACCATTGCCGGATTGTGGTCGGAAAGAAACTCTCATGAAAAGAGAGAAAAAGCGATGAGACATTGAAATTCTATCACCGAACAAATTGATTTGGGAATCATATGCCGATGTTATTAGTTATCTATAGAAGAAAGTTAAAGCAAGGAAAAGGATCCGACCGACGCCAGAGAAGCCAGCGCCGGCCGGGAAACGCAGAGAGACCGGAGAAGTTAGTTTTCGTGAAAAGTCGTCAATTTGGAGAGAGAACAGAGCAGTTCCTTATAAATTAATAAACCAATAACACCCCCTAAATTTGAGAGTATGGTTCAATCTGATCATTTTGATGATGACACTAGTTATTTTAGTAAGCATGATAGTGTGCGAAATGGATCTAATGTTGAAAAACATGTTCTTGAATAACAAAGTTCTATTGTCCTCTTTTCTCGAGGGTTCCATCTTCTTTTTAGACGAACCCACACACACACACACTCACACAAGAGAGGGAGGTCACACACACACGAGCGTATTTTACATATTATTGAACGTGTTTAACAATATTAAAACCTGAATATCTCTAATCAATTGTATTAATTTTTTCCTATACAACACCATATTTCTTCTCAAATCGAACAACCTCATTTTCAAGTGACGCAATAATTTCATGTATATTTTTACTATTTTATCAATAAATAATTAACGATCAATTATACATTGGATACAAGAGAAAACACTTCTAAAATTAACATCCTACTCCAAGATGGAGGATGGCCAAAGACGCTTCCACATTTCTATATCTTCTTTACATTTTAGCTTTCGAATTCCTCCATAGAACCCGTCTTCCTCGTTACCTTTCTCTCTATGATCTCTCCTGTTAATCATCGTTTTTCTCCACCTTGATCCGACTGTGTACTGGTTAAATTCCAACACCATCATCTCTGTTTTCACCATTCATCAATACTTACCACTTAGTACAACATGTGAATGCATATTTGGACACAACATTAGTAGAGAAAGGTTAATGCTATATTATTAGGGGGTTATGTTTAATTCCATGCAAGTGGGAAGAAATTCCCAAACCTTTTCTTTTTTGTGGTGATTCTAAGTCAACAAAAGGAGGAAAAAAAAGATTTTTAGGAGTGATAAAGAATTATTGTCCCTTGAATAGTCACCATATTCAACTAATTTTATGGAATCTAATAGCCTTTGTGAGCAAATATTTGAATGTGACTTCCAATTTTAAAATAGCCAACCAAGACTCCATTTCTAGACCAAAGGAATATAAAGCTGAGGACTCACCGCTAATATGGCATTGACAATGGTTAAGATTGCCATCACAAGATTCCAAGTGGCCAACAACACTATACCACCATCCTACACAACAACATTACACAAGCTTGTTTAGAATCATATTATGTCCAAACCACAAGCATTATAGATTATTAATACCATAAGGAAACTCTTTGTTCCTTCTCCACTGGATCTCTATGTGATCTCCAGGTTTTAATTCGTTTAGAGAATCTGACACATAGAGATGATGAGGTGATGCATCAATGGGAGCTGCTCTTATCCTTTCCCATGTCACATCCTTTTCAATCGCAATTGCTCTTCTACCATGTGGTGGATACCTACAATCCTCAATATAATATAGTCTATAGCTTTCTATGAAGAATATATAAGCAAAAGATTGTGTTGAATGTGGACATGAGATATTTTATACCTAGCTTGAAAAGTATTAGTGTGGGTGTCATAGCTGAGCTCAGCATCATAGCATGACAACATGAACCCTACATGTCCATTCTGCTCTTACACCAAAAGGTCCTCATTACTTTAGTCAAACCCATAAAGCATAAAATGGAGTAGTTATGTTTATGAAATATAGATGATTACCTCACGGTTGTAAACTTGAGCTGGAAACCAAAAGCGACCTGTTTCAAGGGAGAGGTAGAAGCTCATGGTAGAATCAAGAGGAATAGAAGATGGATATCTCCTTCTATGATTATCATCTCCTAAAATCGATGAAAGAGATCGAATAAGAGATATGATTTTGGTCAATCCATGATGACTAGTTTGGTGATGAGGAGAATCAAGATGATATGGAGAAGAGAGATAGCATTGCCACTCTTTGTGAGCAGAAGGTCCAAGGATTTTTCCCCATTTTGTCTTCAAGTGTTTCTCCCACAGATGATCACTTACACATCTCTCTCTTAACGAGCTACAGACCCTAGCCATGCTACATAGTCCAGAGGGTGAAAGATTGTCAAGAATGCAATCGAGAGGAAGGTCAGGGAGGTCAAGGATCGACATTTGGCCGAGCACCGGAGAGGCTAGATCAGGTGTGGTTGGGTGTAGACTGTTCGTAAAAAAGTTCTTGGAGAAGTAGAAGGAGTGCAAAGTTTTGGTTTTAGATACCCATGGAGGAAGGGGTAAAGATTTGGCAAAGAAGAAAAAAGAGAGACAAGTGATGAGTAAGTAGAGAAGCATTTAGAAAGTACTATTTTTGTTGGAATTAAGGGATAACATAACCAACTCTTGAAGACAAGAAACAATTCTTTCTCTCCCTTGTTTATGAACTTGAAACCAAGTTGTTGAAATCAAGAGAGAGAAAGAGAGAGTTGGATTATATATAAAAACATAAACAACTAATGAGGAAGAAGAAGAGGAGGAGGAGGAACAAGAATTGAGATTCCCTTGGCACCTCCACCTTCAGAAAACAGATTTCTTTCTTCTTCCTCCCAAAGTCTCAATTCTGAAACAAAACAAAAAATATGCTAACAATCAACTGGTCCTTTCTTATAAACCTCCTTAATTTAGTCAAAATTATCTATTTTTCTAATCTCTCACGAAAAATAGCAAATACTTTCATTAGGATAATTAAGACGAGAGGTTACTACTTAATTACCTTTTTTTGTCAATAATCTACTTCTAAATTCTTCAATATATATCTCTTACTTGCTAATCCATTATCCTTTCTCTTTTAAGATTCATATAAAGCAGCTTGACCTCTATTGGACTCTTCAAATAGCAACTGATCTAAAACTTCAAACACCAAACATATACATACTTCAAGGTTGATTAAGGAAATATGGAGTCATCAAAGAGAGATGATTATCAGGTACATATTTCATTTGAAAGCTAGTTCCACATTACAGTCAAATAGATACCTAGTTCGTTCTTGGACAACAAAAACAAGCCTAAAATCCAGAGATCGATACAACAACTCCTTGATCATTTTCGAAGTTTCTACTCTCGAACATAACATGATAAGTGCGATATTGATGAGGACTTCAAATGACAAGCATGCTTCAAGATATAACTCACAAAATCTCTCTCTTCTGGTCTTCTCGTGTACCCAGCAAACTCGAAAATTTCAAGACTATCCAACAAACATTTAGGAACAGAGCTCTCATCATTATATTTCCAGCTAGCATGTTCATACTCCTCATCAAAGTCTGGATCATCCTGAGATTCAATTTTTTATTTTAAAGAGAGAATTAATAAGACTACACTATAGAATGCTTTTTAGATTGTAAATGAAAAACCTTACATCGACAAGAAGCTTGAGGACTCGTAGTTTAGGAGAATCTTCGAGCAACCGAACAAGTAATTTCGACCAGTTATCGCGGTATATATGTAGCTTCAGATGTTCAAGCTGATTGAAGTAAATACCATTATGATACATAGACTGCACACAAAAACGTAACCAAAAAGAAAAGGATTCAGTCTCAAGCCAAAAAAACAATTTAGCCGTTTTAAGTGCTAGTAATAAAGAAGTATATACCTCGTCTTCAATGTCGAGATATACGAATAATGACAGGCGTTTGACAGATGTGATTGATTCGAAAAGCCTCTCAATCTCTTGCTCAACACTGAGATCTGCTTCTTCCACCTTAGGCATATACGTAATCAAATACGAGAAATCTTCTCTATAATGGCCCAGAACTTGGAAATATTTCAAAGAAGGAGTAACTATCACATAACCATCACAAGAATAAGCCCCATCTATCGGTAAACTTAGTCTCAGCAAAGACGGAACAATAATAACCAAGGTTTTCACATTGTCATGCCTATCTCGATGAATAGTCAAATCTTCCAGAACAGGACAATACGATAAAAGCAGTCGAAGAGAGTCTTCGCTTGAGTATGATACACCACTAAGCACCAAAGTTTTCAAAGAAGGGAGACAAACCGTTCGAGGAACATCCACAATAATGCTATTGCCTGTAAGTTTCAAAGTAATGAGCGATGTGCAAGTATACAAGCTGCTTGGTAATAACTCAACAGGTTTGCCAGGGAAAGACGACAAATCACAATAGTTGATAATCAGCTCACGAACGCAGCGAGAAATCGTAGTACCAACCCAACGCTTAACATCCTCCGGTTGAAATGATTTATCAAAACATTGGAAATGAAAGCTTTCTATAACATGAGATTTAAGTAGTGGCAGATTCTTGGTAATGAAATCCCTAATAGGAAGATCTGGTTGGAAGTGATTTATCAAGAACTTGAGTTTAGGCACCCACAACCAAAGAAACTCCCATCGTTTAGACAACATGCTAGTCGATACAACTTCTTTTGTCGGAAGAAAGGATAATATCTTAACTAGTAATTCATCAGATAACCCACTGATTCTGTCCATTTCTTAAACAAAAGCCCAATTGTAGTAAAACGGCTACACCACCACCAATAAACTGAACTTCGAGTTTATCATTTAGTTTTTCAGACCCTAAAAAAAAAAAAAAACAAGTAAACGCAGTAGAACTGAAAAGGATTTGTCTGAAATTAAAACAAACTTAAACAGAGGAACGAGTCAAAGAACCCTAGAAAAAAAAGCTGGAATGTTGAAAGCTGAAAAAAACCCTAGAAAAATACCTGTGAAGTTTCTTTCTTTCAGTGGAGGCTGGATTTTCGCTCAGGAGGTTGGTTAATCGGAAGCTTACTAGAGAAGTGTTGTCACTGAGCTCTAACATTGTGGTGACTGCTGATTGTATTTGAGTGTATTTGATGTAGCCCATTATTAGGCCTTTGATAGATTTTCCGAGCCCAATAACGTTTTGTTTTTCTTCGTAAATCCCCGCGGGATATATTTTTATAAAATAATTTTATTTTAATATAAATATAATTAGAAAAAATTGATTACACTATTAAAATTTGATATTTTGCATATTATATATTACTTTTATAAAATAAACTATTGATATAAACTCAAATATATTTTAGTAGAGTTACAAACTAAAATTTGTTTTCTTATAAAATCATATGAATTTCAATTTTAAGATTCAAAAACAAAACCCCCCAAGGATAGCTTCTATTTTTTTTTTTTTAATTTCACTATCAATGTAAATTCTAGTGCTAAATTTAATACTAATGGTTCATCTTTATAGGATTTAATAATAAAATGATTTTCGTTCATTTATAGATTTTTTTTCTATATTTATCTTCATTTAAATATGATTGCTAGGTTTCATTCTAATGATTTTATTCTATTTTTTTATTCTAACTAAATTTAATTTTCATGAAACAGATTATTTATTTTTAAAAAATCTTAAGGACCAAAGTTTTTTAGTGAAGCTCTTTTTATTTTCGAAAAAAACTTTAATTTCAAATTTTTAAATATGTTGGGAAATTGATAAAACTATCCATTGGATCACAAAAACTAAATATAATGATACATGTATTAAAAGTGAATTACCAAAATTTATTTGAGAGGTAAAAAAATTTATTTGATAAATGTACTAGAATAATTTATTTTATTAAATATTACAGAAGTAAAAATAACAAATATATGAATATGATAGAAAATAATCAAACTTCAAAAGTAGAAAATGGAGATGGATCTTTTCAACTTTATTTTGTTGTTGTTTATTTTGTTGTTGTGGGATGATTGGAATTGAATTAATTTAACTATTCATCACCAATAAACCTGAAAGTTTTGTTATAGCCATCAAAACTTTTATTTTACATATGTGAATTTAATTTAAAAGTATTAAAACTAAAGAAGAAATAAGTATAATGGCGTTAGAAATAAACTAAATCTTGAAAATAATGTTAGATATATATCATACTTTCTAAAATAAATTGAATTTTAGTTCTACACATCCCATATTATTGACGATATTTTTAATTCTAAATAGTAATTCCCACACTTCTATATATTTAATTAAGTATGTTTTTTTAAAAAAAAAATTCAATCTTACACTTTCCATTTTCCAATACAATTTAACTATCTATCTCATCATAATAAACTAGATTTAATTCCACACACTTCATCTTAATGGATAAATGCTAAATATTTTATATCAAAATAATATTTATATCATATCTTAGTTAATATTAAAAATAATTAACAAATAACAAAACATAATTAATAAAAAATAAAAATCCAAAAATAATTTAAAAACAAACATTTTTAAAAAAATAGTTTTTCTATGTAGCGTACTCTCATAAGTTAATTTTACCTCCTGTCAAATTAATTTTAAATAAGTTAAAACTTAAAACCTGATAAATAAAACATAAATAAAAGTATATTAGCATTATCATTAAGTAATCAAAAATTCATTCCTATGAGCTATTTTTTTCAAACTTATGGTGTTTTCACTTATAACTGTATACGTTGAAATTCTTAAAATAAAACATAAGTATAACTATACTAATATTCTCATCAAACATTCAAAAATTATTCTTATAAGCTAATTACATGTTCAAATTTTTGTTTTCAATTAATGAATAAAAACACTATATTACAATGATAAATACATTTTTTATCCAATTAAATTAATATTAAATAAATTATAATATTATTTTTAACTTCAGTAGTCATTGTTTATTAGTTAATAGCTATGTTAAATTATTTTTTTAATTTATACATGTCAAATTTAATTAGAGCAATTGCAAAAATACCCATTTTGGTATGTGGTTTTTCAAAAATACCCCCTCCTATTATCCATTTTTAATAAGAGTCAATTAGCTGCATGCTAATTATTTGAGAAATAATTAGGTGTGACATACACAAGTTTTTTTCTTTGCAAAACAAGAGAGAGAAAACTTTGGTTTGGTAAAATTCGGACGAAATTGCCCCTCAAATTAAAAGCGGAAATTTTCTGTAGAAGATATATGCGTCATGGAACTTACAGTGGGCCACCACTTATTAAATGCTTCCATCGATAATATATTCTACTACATAATTAAATGTCGTGATATCTTGTTTTTTATCGGATACATGGATATATATCAATACATCGTAATATTCTATTAATATTGTTTACATATGATATATCACTATAGAACATTGTAGTGGTTGTGATAGGTGAGTGAAGTAAATTTAACATTGTAGTGGTTGTGTTGAATTGTATGTTAGTGGCGGAGGAGGTGATGGTGATGTGAATGAAGAATATATTGCGGTTGAAGAGAAGGTGGTGATAGTGAAGGGGATAGAAATTATATTAGCGATGACATAGGTGAGACTATGACGATAAATGAATTGAGAGACAAAGATGCTTAACCATCACTAGATTTGCTCTTAGCGTCGTCGGTTGACGGTGTCTCAAATCATCTTTAACAGAAGTTCAATAATAACGAACGACACTCAAACATACGACGTCTCTATACCAAAATATTTTAAAGGTTTATGGAGTACATTTTAATCAGAAAAATGCGACGAGTTTAATGAATTTAAAATATCATAATTTTAGATGCAATCAGTTTCACAATTAAGAAGAATCGTTTGTTTGGGGTTTTCATAAAGTAAAGAAAAAAGAAAAAGAAAAAAATAAATAATAAAAGGAAAGAGAAAAGAAGAAGGAAGGAAGAAAGAATGAAGTGTTTGATTTTAGGGGTATTTTAGTCTTTTTGTCATGTTTTCAAATGATCATTTATTTACAAGTTTGTCATTTCTCATTTGACTTAAATACTTCTCAGTCTTAGGGTATGTAATGTAATTACTCTTTTAATAATACTCCTCTTTATGTGTTAAATGACTAAATTATCCTTCTTAATTGAGAGAAAGTAATAAAAAAGTCAAAATTTTCCTCCAAAATTTATTTTTTTCAGACAAAAAAATTTCCGCCAAAAATTTATGGGTCGTCGAGTTGTAGCCCCCTGCAAAGTTTGAATTCTTGCTTCAGCCCCATGAAACTTTTGCATCTTGCCCTAGCCACACCAAAAAACTTTGACAATGTGTATCCCCATATAATTTAAAGGGATTTTGGTCTAATGTGTCATTTACTGTAGCAAAACTTATACAAATTGCCACAAAAAGTTTTCTTTTCTCAATCTGCCATTTTTCCACTTTATGGCAGGCAGACAAAGATGAAAATACCCTCCGACGAAAATATCTAAATATCAGATATTTGGTGGACAAAACTTTGTTTCGGAAAATTTTGGTAGACAAAAAATATTATCCACATTTGAAACAACAGATTGGGATGATATTTGGTGGACAACAAATATTGTCCACATTTAAAACAACAGACTTTAAAGAAATTTGGTGGACAAGAATTCAAAACGGCATATTTCGAAAATTTTGGTAAACAAGAAATGTTGTCCACATTTGAAACAATAGATTGAGAAGATATTTGGAGGATAACAAATATTGTCCACATTTGAAACAAACAGACTTCAAAAAAATTTGGTGGACAAGAATTCGAAACGAAGTAATCCAAAAATTTTGGTAGACAAGAAATGTTGTCCACATATCTTCTTCCTTCTCAGATTTAGATTCGCTTCCACTTTCCAAACCAGATTCAGACCCAGATTTTTAATCTCGCTAAATCGCCAACGATGTATTCCTAGATCGAAAACGTGATGAACTCTTATATCTAGGGAGATTGAGCTTCATTTTTTAGAGAAAAAAAGAGAGAGAAAGAGAGAGAGAGAGAGAGAGAGAGAGAGAGAGAGAGAGAGAGAGAGAGAGAGAGAGAGAGAGAGAGAGAGAGAGAGAGAGAGAGAGATGAGAGAGAAATGAGAGGAATGGAGATTGAACAAAAAAACTCTCTCTCTGAAGGGTAAATTGGACTTTGCAAGTTGGGTTAGAAATTGGATTGTGACACAATTGAAAAGGATTTGTGGGCTGTGGCAATTTTGGTAAGAATTGCTACATTGTGTGGCACATTTCTTAGATTGCTCTAATTTAAATTTCGGGTTCTATCCCCGCATCTGTTAAAAACAAACGATTTCCGTCTATTATGTTACTAAACCGGATTAAAATCGTAATGAACCAAAAATTTGAACATAACTCAATTTTGCCTAGATTCAGACCGTATTCATTCCTCATAACATCATTCTCTTCTCAAATTTCGTTTTACAATTGACAAACTACATCCATATCATTATCCATAGCAAAAGACATCAATCCATGACATTAGTTAAAACAAAAATGAATTCTGAAGTATCACAAAAGACAAAGCCGAAAGCAAAACCGATTCACTTCTTAGAAGGCAAAAGCAAAACAAAGATGCTCTTCTTAGAAGGCAAAGCATTATTACTACCTAATCTGATTGATAACTAAAACATTCTAGTCTTGATCCATTTGAGACATTGGCTGTGTAGATTGACTAGAAGAAGGTTCACCATGACCCTGAAAATGAAATCAACAAAAATGAACACAAATCAATATAAATAAACAGAGATGAATAACAGATTCCAGAGATGAATAACTTACCCTTTTGGCTCGTTTGGCACAAGACCGAGTATTGTGACCAGGTTGTCCACACTTCTTGCAATGCATTGTTCGTTTCTTCTTCTGTGATGGAGAGATTGGAACTTCTTCTTCTTGTTCTTCTTCTTGGATGGAGACTCGTTGATTCCTTTTTTCCTTTTTTGCTTCTTACTCTTCTTCTTTCTTCCACGTTGTGGTGGTTCAGGAGGTTCACCAACCAATGACACATCACCTCTGGCCCAATGGCCTGCACCTCTAAGTGGAATGATGTTATCACCATATAACTCTCTCAAATGCGAAGTAAGAAACCAATCAGATACGTAGTCATCTGAATTAAGTTTCTTAGTCAATATTACTGCATAGCCATGTTCAAAAGGGATCCCACATATGTCCCACTTAAGGCAAGTTCATTTTCTGCTTCTCATATCTACTCTCTTTAAATGACCATCGATTTCAACCTTAAATCAGTCAACATCAAACACTCTCCGTTTTGACTACAATTATGATCAGTTTTAAACATTGTGACCTCCCATATGTTCTTCTTGGTACTTAGTGAGCAGTATATTCTCCAATTGCAACCATCCATACCACATTTGTATGCAAGCTTTGTCTGATCCCACCTAGATTGTTTTATATTGTTACCTGTTCTAAGAGCATAGTCCAACACAGCTTCCTTAAACGCAACACCACTATAAAATGTTTGTCGATAGTGTAACCTTCCATCTCCTCGTCGTCTGATCCGTTGGGCTCCTCGATTCACATGAACCACTTCAGCATGTTCAGAGTCGCTGTCACTTTCAAGACACATTATGCCGCATCGGATGCTCATCTCTAAATTGAACAACAATATCTTCAATTTCTAACTGAAACTTGTTCATCAACTCTTCATCACCACCTTCATCGGATACGCTATCGCTAGAACTTGAATCATTGTCATATCCATCTTCATTAGGAATTTCAAAGTCTGGGTCACTTGGATCACTTTCATCTTTATAAAACTTTTACTTGGATCACTTTCATCTTTATAAAACTTTTATAAAATTTCAAAGTCTGGGTCACTTGGATCACTTTCAAAGTCTGGGTCGCGACCCAAAATTTATAAAACTTTTGTAAATCTTTTTAAAATCCTTATAAAATCTTTTGAAAACACTTATAAATCTTTAAGACTTTTGTAAATCTTTTTAAAACCCTTATAAAATTCTTTTAAAACCCTTGTAAATCATATAAAAATATTTGTAAAATCTTTTAAAAACCCTTGTAAACCTTTAAAACCCTTCAAAAACCCTTGTTAACACTTATAGCCTCTTCTTAAAACCCTTGTAAATCATTTTAAATTCATTTAAAATCCTTTAAAAACCCTTTATAAAACCTTTTAAAACCCTTTAAAAACCAATGTAAATATTTTAAAACTCTTGTAAACCTTTAAAACCGTTTAAAAACCCTTATAAAAATCTTTTTAAAACCCCTGTAAAAGTTTTTAAATCATTTTAAAATCCTTTAAAAACCCTTATAAATCTTTTTTAAAAAACCTGTAAATCTATTTAAAACCCTTGTAAATCTTTTAAAACCCTTGTAAACCCTTTAAACCCCCTTATAAAATCCTTTTAAAACTCTTGTAAATCCTTTTAAATCCTCTTAAAATCCTTTAAAACCCCTTGCAAAACACTTGTAAATCATTTTAAAATCCTTTAAAATCCATTGTAAATACTTTAAAACCCTTGTAAACCCTTTAAAACCTTTTAAAAACCCTTATAAAATCTTTTTAAAACCCTTGTAAATCCTTTTAAAATCCTTTAAAAACCCTTATTAATATTTTGAAAACCCTTTTAAAACACTGGTAAATCATTTAAACCCCTTTAAAAAACCCTTGTAAATCTTTTAAAATCCTTATAAAATCTTTTTAAAACCCTTGTAAATCCATATCCCGCAAAGCTTTCTGGGATCATATTTCCCGCCAAAAATAAAGGGATCACTTTTTCTGCCAAAAACAAATTTGGTAGGAAAATTTTTGTCGTTAAAATTTTTCTTGGAAATTTTTTTGGCGGGAAAATTTTGTCGGAAATATTTTTGGTGGGAAAATCCACTTGTCATTTTGTTGACTTTCTTATTTTCCAAATAGGGGTAAAATGGTCATTTAAAATTGAAAGAGTGCATAAATGAAATGGCTAAAAAGGGGTATTTTTGAAAAGGGGTATCAAAAAAAGGGTATGTCTAACAATTTCTCAATTTAATAAACCAAGAACACATGTAAAAACAAACTTTGCCAGCTTTCTCTTTTTGGTTAAGAAAAATAAAAGTTAAGAAAATCAAGATATAGACATATAAATTAGTATATGTAAATATGTTTCTTTTTTAGTTTTCCTATTTTTTAAGAAAATAAAATAAAACTTTTATAACACAAGTCAACATCTAATCGATAGATTTGACACGTGTCACGATCATGCGAGTTACTAATTTTAAAAACCAAGCTTTATATGATAAGATATTACTATATTAGAACATGTCCGATGTCCGGGTTTTAAAGTTTTGTTCTCCGTGCTTTATTATTTTTCTTTTCGGAAGGGTGACTGACATTCATTTCGATATTTATTGCATCCACTTATTAGTCGAGCTTTGTCATTATTTTCGTGCAAAAATATTTTCTTGTTCTCTTTGTAACAAGATTGACAATATTTGACATATAGATGATGAGAGAGAAAATGGGGAAAATATCATTTAAATCATCAGTTTACAATTTTCGTTGGTTTAAATCATGAACTCTAGACCTGGTGATTTAAATCCTTAATTTTATGTTGATTTTTATTTTAATCATGAATTCTAATTGACAAAGCCAAGTGAGGCACATTGCTAAATGACTAAACGGATCAATAAGACGATATCATTGCATAACTGGCACTTCGAAGCTATCAAATAATTTTTCTTCTACACCAACATGGTTTCCATCTTCCTCTTCGTCTGATTGCCTCGTTTAGCCAGTGAACGATGTGCCTCAATTGGCTTAGTCAACGAGAATTCGTGATTAAATTGAAAGTCAACATAAAATTGAGGATTTAAATCACCATGTCCACATAAATTGAGGATTTAAATCACCAGGTCCAGAGTTCATGCTTTAAACCAACGAAAATGGTAAACTGATGATTTAAATGACATTTTTTCCGAGAGAAAATGGAGTAAAGGAAAAAGAAGGAAGAAGTTGACATAGATGAGATAAAGAATTCGAATGTTACCAGCGGATAAAACAGTGTCGGCTAAATAGATTGAACGGTGCAATACAATTCAAGTGCAGTTCGTTGGAGAGAAACATACCATACCAAACAAGTATGATTAATGTGTAACAAACGGTACTACACAATATTTGAATATTAATTATCATAAATACAGTACGGGTATAATAATTATCAAATATTAACTAGTTTTTAAAAATATTTAGAGTGACCAAACCAATTTTTATTGAATAAAAATGTGTAAATTAATTTGTATATATTATTTAAGAATATTTTCAATTAAAAATATATATAAATTAAAGAAACCGCATCTAGCTACATCAAAATTGGTCTGATTCATACTTGTATTCACTTTTTTAACCACACTAGGCACTATTTAAATTAAGGTATGAACCCAAACTGCATTTCACATATATGTGTGATTGATAAATAAGATTATCTTTGATACAAAAGCTACATATATCATCAGAAAAGCAAGCAAAGCCGTAGGCAGCCAAATGGCCTAATCCTCGCTAGAGAACAAAGGCAACAAATACGTGCTTCTCATTCATTACCAAAGTGCATATGTATTTTTAAAGCTAAAACATAAATTCTACGCTTTTGCATTTTTCTAGCATTATGCAACTTTTTGAATTGATAAATTTTCATATTGCATTAAAAATATAATCCCGTTAGTGTGCGGGTTACCAATCGAAGTAAAATTAATAATAGTAATACCAAGATTCAACCACTTTCATTCACACGACTACTCATATATTATATGTGTTTGTGCTTTTAAAAAATCACCAATTTGAGCATGGGAGAGGATAAACATATAATTTATCATCTTATTAATCAAACAGTTGCATAGAAATATTAAAATATCTTAACGATTTTTCATCTATAAAAGCAGCATATATTTTATATTCAATCAAAACAAATAAAATTTTATTGATGTTTTTGATCTTCCGACTCTATGATAGGGTTCCTGGCTCTCATTGCAACCGGTGGAGATTCGTAACATTTTTTACGACAAGCCGCACATTCTGATGCTGGTGATGAACGTTTACAATGCTCTCGGCAAATCTTACTGCATTCTATCTCCGTTTTTGCTTCGCCTTCTATCACAATGACCGCTAGTATCATCATTATCAACGCCATGCTAATTACTTTCCCCATTTTTCAACTTTAATTATTTTTTTCTTTATGTTTATGAATGAATCTTATGAAAATGCCTGTATTTATAATTTTAGACCATGATGACTACACTGTTATTCAACTAATATTAGTCAAAGTTTTATTGTTTTCCATGTTTGGTCTCAACTTGTAAGGTATTTGTTTTTGATATATGTCATAATTATTGTTCAAATATTTTTAGATTTTGATGTTTGAATTCTCCAAATGGACCTATGTTTATATTCTAATATTTTTTACTAATTCGAGCATAGTAATGAAAAATTACATTTTTCTTAGTTGACTGCATTAAAAAGGAAGAGAAATTGCACTCTATAGCTATATAACAATTAATAATTAGTAGGATAATCATTTGAGATTAAAATTCAAGCGTTTTTTCTTTACATAAGTGATACAATACTTCAAGTTACAAATCGATAAATTTCAAAATACAATGGAAAATATATCATAGTTTACTATCAAATGGCGAGAAGACAAGTTTACATATGTAGAAAGACAAGATGGAACATAAACACCACAATTTTATGATAGCTAAGATGTAATAACTTGCAAAAAGATCAAAACAAGATTGGAAGACACAATTATATTTCTCCTCTATAGCCATGAAAAAAAAACAAAATAGTCTATTAGAATTAGATATGGCCACACTCTTATGGAACTCCAGTATTGAGCAGTCTCGAATACGATGTTCGAGACCACCACAATAAGTACAACCCTTGACACCACTTGCATTAGCAATGGTCTGTTTTTTCCACTGGATCACGGGTAACATGAAAGGGCGGAGGCAATATGACAAAAGGGGTCTCAATTGACAGCCATGAGTTTTAAAAAATATGTTGGTTTTGTTAAGTTTTAAAATTGACCTTCTTCACAAAATATTATTGAACCTCCATCAAATTAATATAGCCAATACATAAATTAATAACTATAATATGTCAACTCAATTAATTTTATCCAAAATATATACATAACAAAAGTAGATCATGTGGATTAAGGGTTAATTAATGCTTCTACACCAAGAGTTAATGACTCATTGGTTGATTAAGGGTTAATTAATGTTTCTACACCAAGAGGTTTGGGGTTCGAGTCCCAGATACTGCGATTTATTAATAAATTTGCAGATTAATGGAGGCAAGTGTGCAAGAGATCTCCAACGATATACAATTATAGCCGTTCGCCAGGATTCTACGTAGAGAGAAAAGTGTTGTCAGGTCGTGGATCATTGAAAGGTGTCCATCAAGAGCACCAAAAAAGAAGTGTCGTTTGTCGTGGATCTAATAAAAGTCGGAAGGAATTGTCCGTTGTAGAATCGTCGATGTAAGTATGTAACAGTTCTCATAATTTGCAATAAATAATAAATCCAGACGTTAAAAAAAATAAAAATAGGTCCATTAAAGATTAAACCTAAATATTATTTTTAAAATAGGCCCATTAAAAAAGTACGTATTTTTTCAATCCTACTAAAAATCTTATCTCACAACCTTTATTACAGAAATAGAACCCCAAATGCCTATTTTGCAAATTTTAAATACTAACCCGACTTTTTATCTAACTAAGTACCAAAAATTGTCTAAATCAACAATCTTCACCCATAAATCAATTGTCCAAAACAACGTTTTAGTTTTATTTTTTGTTTACGTAGCATATTAAAAAAGTTGATAGTTTGGTATTAAATTTTAATTAAGAAAAGTGTTACTTTCCCACATAACTTTAAAAACAATCCGTTTATTTTATTTATATTTCTTTATCAAATTAAGAATCCGTTTATTTATAAGATATCGGGGATTTGACTTATAAGTATGAGATCAAGATGTGATAGAAGTTAAAGGAAGAATGGGAAGTCAAGCTTAATGTCTTCTTTCGGTGAGGGAAGGTTTCATATGGACAAGCTCTTCTTTATTCGCTCCCATGGCGAGAGCCATACGACCAGCCTCTAAGAATCGTTTCATAGCATCTTCCATGTACCTCTTCCCTTCAATCACCGTCATTCCTTTGCTTATTTCTTTAGGAAATGTTGTGAGCATATTATCACCTTTTAGAACCGCAGCTAGTTGTACAAGCTCTTGCTGAAACTCAGTCAACAAAGCTTTCTCATTCGCCTCTCCCATTCTTATCTTAACCGGTTCCGGTAGCGTCTCGGGACAATCAGTTCGAGGCTCCTTTCGGATCTGTAAGATGTTCTCAAAAGTCCCAGCCCATTCATCTCTCTTCGTGAGGAAAGGCGATGATAGATTGAACAGTTTCTTCACAGTCGCGGGGATTGAAGAGTGCTCGTACTCTGACGATGGAAATGGAGACCCGTTTGGTCCATGTACGACCGTTCCTTTCTCTATCCATGGGGACACTGCTATTGTTGGTACACGAATACCTAACCTGTTAAACTGAAATAGGAATGGATCCGGTCCAACTATACCGTCCGGGCTAGGAACATTGCGAACGGGTGTGGGCACGTGGTCAAAATATCCACCATGCTCGTCGTAAGTGATAATCAATAAAGTTTCGTTCCACTGTGGGCTCGCTCTTAGGGTCTCGTACACTTCCTTTATAAACTTCTGAAATGTGTAATAACGTACCAAGTTTTACGTGAAAATAGTTTATATGATAATATTTTTCAAACTAACTATAAAATAAATATAAACAAGGGAAACAAACCTGTCCTTGGTAGACATCATGGGATGGATGATCATCAGAAGCCGGTTCCAAGAGGGTGTCCATGTAACGTTGCTCAATGACAGTGTAGGCAGGGAGCTTCCCATTCTTTGCATGATCCTTGAAAGAGTTCCCATAGCTATGGAACTTAAGCACGTATTTGAGTTTCCTTAGGCTTTGATAAAACAATACCGCCGGAATATTCTGGTAGTATATACCGAAAGAGAATTCTTCGTCGTCAAGATTGTCGAAAATGGTTCTTTGAGGATAACCCTTTGCAAGTGAGATAGGGTTGTTGCTGGTGGCTCCCGCTGACGTCCCTGAGTGCACGAACATTCGGTTTGGTTGTGTCGATGATGGAACCGATGCAAACCATCTGTTTTTTTTTTATATATATATAAAAAAAATCAGATTTATTCCATTTTAGTATCAAATTAGTACTAATGATTTCAACATGAGCTAACGGTCGTTTTCCCGAAAAACTAAAATAATACATGAGCTAACATGAGCCAACGGTCGTTCTCCCCAAAAAAAGAAAAGAAACATGAGCGAACGGTCAAACAACACCACCACAAAAAGAGAGCGCCAATAAGACTATATTATTACGTACTTAACAAAAAACTAAAAAATATTATATCACGTAATAATAATTTAATAATACTTCCATAAACCATTTAACAAAATAATAAATATCAATAAATCTTCCATATAGAGAGGAAAAAACAAAATTGTAAAGGAGAATATATTGAAATTCCATGCATCTGTTTTCATCTCAATTTCAGAGTGGAAAAATATATTAGTACTACTGATTGTTGTTAAACAGTATACGGTTTTAACATGAGCTAACGGTCGTTCGCCTCAAAAAAAAAAAAAAAAAAAAAGAGCAAACGGTCAAACAACAACAACAATTCACCACAAAGAGCTCGCCATAACAATACTGCACAGTCTGTACTTATTATTATTAGATACTTAACAAAAAAATCAAAAATATTATATTACGTAATAATTATACTTCAATAAACAATTAAACAAAATAAATAGATATTAATAATTTTTCCATTTAGAGAGGAAAATATAAAGATAGTACAAAAGGAGAAATGTGGCCGAAAAAAAAAAGTAAAGGAGAAATATATTTTAAAAGTGGAACCATGCATCTGTTTTTCCTTCTTAATTTCAGAGTGGGGGAAAAAATTCTGATTTGGATTTTTAGTAATATTTTTAACGAAAACTGTGGCGTAATATATTAATATAGTGTTTTAAGATATGCCAATAAGACGACAAAGGATACGACAATAAGATTATGTGACGTAATAATAATTCCAAAAAAACAGGGAAAGTATATTATTATTACCTATCGAAAACAGCGAACTCGGAGACAAGAGACTTGTAGACAGGAACCTTATCGGGTTCGAAACCATTCATAACACTTGCCGACATGTTACCACTAGGGTCCTCGGAATATGCTTGTTGAACAAACCCGTTCATCGGTGGAGGATCCATGGATGTATCATTTGACCCGAATACTTGCTCCCTTATTGCTTGAAACGAATGACCCGGGTCTGGATCTACGTAATGCGAACCCGACCCGAATTTGATTTTTTTAGAGGAAGGGTCCGACGCTGAGACCGGGTTTGACTCCGACCCGTCAACACCGTTGATCTCCGGGTTTAGTTTCTTCATCCATCCAAGCATGTGATCGAACGATCTATTTTCCATCACCACAACTACGATGGTTTTGATCGGACTTGTTGCATGAACATGGTTGTATAAAATTGTGACGGCTAGTAGTTGAAGCAAAGCAAATGTTTTAATAGACATGTTGTTTTGGGGGGATTGGTAGATGTTGATGGTGGAGATGATAAATAGGTGGATAACTTTATAGGCTTCTTTTTCTATTATTTGTTTTTTTTTTTTTTTATGTTTGGATTTTTCTTGGTGTGTATGTTCTAAATCTCTCTTCAAGCATATATATATATTAAAAAAAAAAGATTAACACAAGTACATGGAAACGAATTTTAAACAATTTTTTATTTGCCCAAAGAAACAATTCAAAAGGAACATAATTTAATAGAAAATCTCACATTTTTTTTATATTAAAAGTTAAAAGAATATTCTAAAGCAGATTGTGTAATTAGACCTCCAGTTATTCAAAAATCCAGAAAAATTGATTACCAAATACAAAGTTAGCATATAATAATGGTAAATAATTGCAAGCCTTAAACAAAAAATAATATACTAACGATATATTGACAAGTGAAAAGTTTGATGACAGTGATAAAAAAGATGTCAAACATATCTTTGGATTATTATGGTTAATAATTTATAAAAGACTAGCAAATTTTGCAAACATATCTTACTACCAAAACAAGCAATTCAATATTAACAGAATAAAGAAAGATATGTTAAATT